CTAATGTTTCTTTGGCATTTCAGCATTTGATTATATTGTTTCAAATGATTTTTAGCATATCATTAATTGCACATTGCATTCAAGTATTCTATGGGAATGCCTAGTATCTCAACTAAACATGCCATGTTGGCCTATTTTCCCCAATAAATAACAGTAACTGTTATTAATAAATCAAATTGGCTTTCTATTAGCATGTACAATTACACTCTTTGTAAGTAGATTATATTTCATTAATAAGAGATAAATTGGTCTTTGGCAAAAATACAAATATAAACATTATTTTGTTTAGTTTTTTAGACCAATAAATATTAGGTGGTAAAAAGGATTTATTCGGAATCCTAAAAAAGGGAAATATGTGTTATTATACAAAATTCTTTAAATGTAAGGAATAAAAAAGAAAAGAATGAATAAAAATAGAATGAAAATTCAAAAGAATATTTTATCTACATAAACTGAAAAAACAGACTGAAGATCTCACATTACCTGGTGTAATTTTCTTTGACACAGGCTTCTTGTCCTCATCCACCATAGGATTTATTTTGAGCAGTTCCCTTGGATTCCCTGAATGTTGTGGCCACACATACACATACACCCTGGACCCACTGCTCCCACAGTCAAAAACCACCCCATAATGTAAACTGTTATCTTGAACATTAGTAACAGCGGTATAGTGGTCAGTTCTTGGCCTGGGAGGTGCATGGTTTAGTAATGCTCTCTCATGCCTCTGAATACTGTAGTTTTGTATAACAGTTATGATGATTATGATGACACACACACATGGTACTAATGCCAGTAATATCTTGGAGGTGCATCCATTCATCTGAGCAAAGCAACTCCATTTTGATGATGTACCTGGGCATCTTATGCTGATCCTTGAAGAGAGAGGGAAAGAAAAGTTATTAACCTATATGCAAAGTTGTTGTAAGTTATAATGTCTAATGTTGATTGCTATTAATATTGCACACTTAAAATAATGACCAATGCCTTTGCAATTATAGATAGATCTTTATCTTGAACTCCAATGCTGGCACCATGATAGGCAAACAAAAGAGTATATCTTTTAATTAATCAATTAAAAAATGAAAGAAAAGATCATAAATAATAACAAATAAATAAAATTAAGGAAAATGATATTATAGCATGAAGAAATTTGCAACTACCTTGATCTAAAAAAAAAAAAAAAAAATCTACGTCTGCAAATGTCAAGTTGGAATAACAATACATGTATTTTACCTGGCCATATGGTTTAAAGGATCTCGTTCTGCCCGCCTTTGCATACACTTCTTGCAAATAAGCACTGATGATATATTGCACACATTTACTATGAAAATAAATCTACTGCTGAACTAAAAGAAAACAAAGTTATATAAAATCATATTCCAAACTCGATATAAATTTATGAAGTCAAAAACGAGGCCGCGAACACGCAACGCCAACAAATTCAGTGTATAGCTCATCAGTAACAGTTCTACTTCACACAAAGTATCGTGGCTCGATCTAATACTCGTGCCACTTCCCATTACTTTAATACGGGTGCTTATGCGGCACACAAGACTCAGGTTGACGTGGCCGCAAACCACACCGGAAGTGATTTTCTGACAGCAGCCGTAAAACGGCACAACCTGTTTTCTTTTGCAACATATCTTTTGACCTAAACGTTTTAAAATACGTCTAGCAAAAAACTGTCAATGACATAAATATAACAGTAAGTTTTATGGATTTCTAGATCGATGACCAAAGTATGTAAATCTTTGTATCTAGCAAATATTTACCGATTTCATCAACTGTACTTAGGTACTTTGAAACTCAGGTGTCCTCAGACCTCTCAAGCCACGGAAAAGAACGGGCTCGACATGGCTCTACCCGTGAAGATGTGCCAGCAAGATGTAGTGAAGCTGGACCTTCAAGCAAAAGCAGCGATTCAGGTAAGATGATAAGGGAGCCAAGGCGTGCAGCATGCTTGATAACATCTTTATCCAAAACAAACTGGATTCTTCTCTTGACTAGGTATATCAGAAAAATTTTCAAACTGATCAGAAAATTAAAATACTTATATCATCTGAAAGGTAATGCAAAAACCGGATGAAATCATTTGGAATTTTTTAAATATTCCTACAAGCAACAAAGATATTGAAGTTTTTTAACTGCAAAAATCCACCAAAAGTGTCCACACTTCTCAGCTCAAAACCTGTGCCCACTGACCAGCAGTGATCACTCAGGCGCAGCAGAGCACCCTGTGTGTCTTTGTGTGCTCAGCCTATTGTCTGGCTCACATAGCCTGTGACTAATCAGGGCAGAGCTATTTCCCTGTGGTAATTTTCACATCATGTAATATTGCGGATTAAATTAACTATACTTCGCAACCTTCAAATTTCATGATTTTTCTACATAATATAGCAAATTTCATAAACTTTGCTGGATATAAATTTCAAAAAGATGATACCAGCACTTACCTGAAATTTTTTAGCATTTTGTAGAGGCAAAACTTAAAACAAGCAGAACCGAAACTTGTCAAAGACTGCAACATGGGAAAATCATGTGACCGGATTTTACTCTTTGATTTACAACTTATTTAGTTAATGGCTTGTATTAGTTTTTTTACGCAGCGCTAAAAGAGAGATTTAAAAAAGGGGTTCCATAGGCGAACTGTCAGCAGGCCGACTTCAGTTTAACACTTCACTGCCCGTGGACAGTTACGACTGTAGCGCCCCTAGCGGATTGTGATCTACCTATCTTGACTGGTCTAAACGGTTCTGCTGTTCTGGTACACGTACCAGTCAGTACTTATTAGCTGTAGCACTACTTCAAGTGGAAGTACTCACTAGATTTAACCGTCCAGTTCGCACACGTTTTAATGATTGAAAAAAATGCATATTTTCAGGATATTCGAGAATTTGATGGCCCACTTGAAGCACTAAGTGATCTCAACCTGAAGGCAAGGGGAAAGATAAATGGGTTGCGAGAAAAAATTGAAGTAAGTACAGTGTTTACATTACGGCAAATCAACATTATTTGATACGTGTACACTTTCAGTGATAGGCTGTTTGTTATTTCAGTCTTTTTAGTTCTTTAGCCTGCAATTTTCCTTTTTTTATCGTCTTGGATGCTTTTGGTAATCATAACTGACTGTGAAAACAAAACAGCTGAAACTTTTAATTGGCCTATAATGCTAAAGATTATGAACACGAGGTCAGTTTATATTTTAGGAACTTGAAAAGCTAGCACTGGAACAGGATAAGGAATCAGACAAGCAACATATATTGAATAATGTAGAAAAACACAGGACACAGTTGGCAAGGTGAGATTTGCTGAATGGAAATTGGTTATTTTATTTGTTCAATGCAAAAAAGACTCATTGCTTGCTGTAGTTAAAGGGACCATAAATTACAGTCTAGGAACTGTATTTATGTAATTGATTTGAATCCTGCAAATTAAGTTTCATTCTTTCCTTTTGAATATAACTTTTGGAAATGGCCTTTTTGTCTTTTTGATATCAAGTGAGCAAAATCTAAGATTTTCTTGAGTAATAAATGTGTATAGCAGTGGATAAAAGAAACATGGTGTCAGAGACACACTTTGATTTTAAAGACAGCAAGAAATTAAAAGAAAAATTCAATATTGTCTTTAAAACATAGCACACAGAATGCATTACGCAAAGCATACTTAGCTTCACAGATAACTTTGGAGAAGAAAGAAAAAGAGCAGCTTATGCAAGGCGGAGCTGAAATGAGGCAGAGGTAATGTTGTTTTATCACTGATTTGTACATTTTTGTTATTCCTTCCATGAATTCACAAAGAGCATCCAAAAATATTAATGAATGGATATTTCTGGATTCCTGATTTATGTAATCTTTAAGATGTTAACTGTTGGTATTTAGGATTCTAACAAAATAACTGTCAGTAGTACTTTGTGCATGGACAATTTCAGGAAGCACCTGGGCAGACAGGGCTTAGTCAAGGCTAGCAGCAATGTGACAGAGAGCCTGATGAGCCTCAGTAGACTCATGGCAACCCAAGTACAGCACAGTGAACAGACCATGGCCACTTTAGGTAGGCTTACTTATAGTTCCTCCAAGTGTCAAAGGCATTTACATATACTTCCAGCTGTATTTAGAAATATGCAGTCTTATGCTAGGGAGGATTATGTCAGTTTTTGTCAGTGCTGTTCAAGATGATAAATTTTATAAGTTACTAAGTTTTTTACCATCTTTTTTGTGATATTTAAGTTTGAACAGTTGTCTTTTTTGAAAGCTGAAGACCATATTTTTGTTATTCCTTAAACTATGTACATGTTACCACATGGTATTCTCTTGCATTTATCAGCTGTGTTGGTGATATAAAATTATATTAATTTTTTTTCAGAAACTTCTTCAAGAACAATCACAGACACTCATGAAGAGTTTAAGAACATGGGTGGACACATCACAGCCTCACGAAAACTGCTCACCAAGTACAACAGGAGGGAAATGACTGACAAACTCCTCATATTCCTGGCTCTTGTCTTCTTCTTTGCTACAGTGCTTTACATTGTGAAAAGGAGAATATTTTCTGCTGGAGTGGATACTCCTATACACACTGAAGTTCCTTCAGTTAACCAGGCAGCATGAAGGGGGTGACATGGAAAGATACGAAGATGCCATCAGAGAGGTGCTCCAAAAAAGAAGTGTTCTTAAATTTGCCTACAGAAGTGAAGTCAGATAAAACTGGACAGCATATATGAGAAACAAAACACACCAGATAGACAGCATTATGGCCATTAATCCAAGATGACATGAAGTCATAAAAAGTGGATTCAGATGGAGTTCTGCATTTGATTAAGTGTAATGAATAGATCTTCACGGTTGCTGTTGGAAGTGTTACCGTTTCTCCACCAGTAAACAGAAGAATGAAAACCACTAGTCTCCAAAAATAGATGTTTCTGCAGGTGGAATGAAATAATTGATATTTGATTACCGGATATAGATAGTCCCCCAGCATTGACAGTGGGTCATGTGCACATAGTGACTTGTGAAACATTTTGAGGTTTGGTGCAAACATTGTAAGACCAGACTAGCATAAGATGGTAAATTAATACCTAAATAAATAAATAATGCAAAAGACCAAATTATTTTACAATTCCTGAAATTTATTTCAAAAGGATGACGAAGGTAATTGCAGTGTTCAACAATGGCAAGTCACCTGAAATGAGAAGTTGACTTTATTCTAGGCCCAGAGCTATTTTGCATAGAAATATGCACCAATTTGACAATGGTCATGACCATAATATGGAATTAGAAACGGACAAACCTATTTATTACCTTGTGCACATTTAAAATATGAAGCAAATACATTCAATTATAGAAATTAAATGACCTTACAATTAAAAAAGTTATTTTTATTTACGCATGCCATTATTTTTACCCAGGCTACAACCTACCAAAGCAGTACTTGGAAATGAGAAAGTAATGTAAAATAACAAAAATAAAAATCAATTCCAATGAACAGAACTAGCAAAACAATGAACTACACAACTTACAAATTTGGAATATAGCTGACAAATACGAATGAGTTGAAGCATCACAGTGTTTCATTATGATGATAGCTTAGTCATCTTCTACCAAAGTCTGAAAAAATCTAAAAAATTGAGTCGCCACTTCACCTATAGACCGAATTAAAACAGCTTGAAGCTGACACCTTTAACCATACTTTCACATATAGCTGTTTTGCCTTTTAGAGTCCTGCTTACAAATAATTACCGTCTTTCTTAGCATTCAAAACTGCACTTTTAAGTAAAGACCAAAAATAAATGTAACCAGATTAAATATTTTACAGCTACTGTCTGGGCTTTCATATGAACTGCCCTTTTGGTGACCATTATTTTTAAAGAATACAACAGTTATAACATGTTTAGATGTATATCACCAATTAAGTTTGAGCTCATTCTTAATTTTTTTTTGCACAAAGGATGTTTCAAAATAAAGTTAAATCTCTTCTAAACAAATGAAGTGTTTTCTCATCTTTAGGTGTCTTTTTACGTTTACTTTTTTTCAATAAAACATTATCTGAGGCTCTTAAAAGCATTCAATGCTTTCAAAATTCTACAAAAACTTTGAAAACACAGAGTCCTAAGTACACCATATAATTGAAGAAAAAAAAAAAAAGAATGTACTCAATACCTTCAAGCTGTTCACCTACAGCTGGCACATACTAGCAGGAAACTTCACTAGCTAGCCTTACTTTTGGAGGAAACGTAATGGTACAAGCAACAGACTTGGTTTTCTTTTTTTTTTTAAGTGCACAGGCTACATCCACCATCTTCTAAACAGTGAAGTTTCCAGAGATTATAAAATGAGCTATATAATTTAGTCCCCATATACATGTACAACACACTTGTCATTTTCTTTATAAGCATACAGTAAAGTAGACGAGTTTCACATAAGTAAAGGGTTCCCTACAAAAAGTTCTTGAGGTATGTCACTTTATAGAGCATAAAGAAAGGGGGATAAATATATTAATCCCTGGGTTAGTACTTCAGCAGATGTTTTTATGATATTTATTTCAATAGCTCTAAAACAATACTGTTTGTCTTTTTCGGTCATAATAAAGACATCACTCAACTCGCTCCATTTTTAGAACAACAACATGTAGAGGTTATTATTCACGTACAGTTTTGCTGCCAGATATACAGATGCAGGTGCCCCTAGTGTCATATTGATCCCCACTGCTTCCCATTACCATGGAAGCCATAATAAAAACTTTTGCTCGAATAAAGTTGAACAGATTTCAAAAATGTGATACACAAATAGACAAGTGGTTTAACATTATTCACAATATGGTGAGATGTTCATGCACATACATTACTTCTCTCCTGTGCCTGGCAGCCATAATATCACCTGACAAAACTGCTGCAATTAGCTAATCAATAACAGCAGATACATTAAGACCGGAATATTGAGATACTAATACTTCCCTGGAAAGTCAAAATAAATAATTACAAAACAAAATCACTGACACAATTACCTGACAATATATAAACATCTCTACACCTGGAACTTACCTATCTGACAAATGATAACAAGGAATAAAAATTGCAAGCAAATTTACCATATTGATCACTAAGAAAAATTAATCCCAACTTAAAGCCAACCACGTGTGGGGCAGGTCAGTTTAAAATGAAAACAAAAATCCATTTTACCATTGCTTAAAACTCCCACTGGAAACCTTTTGTACATGTCTCATTCAATCAACATGAAAAAAAAGACCATTTATCTATTAATAATTATAGTGCATTTCATAAAATATACTTCTATATGCTGAGTCTTTTCAACAATTTGAAAGGTAGAATGCTATCTATAAAGATGATTCACCTTCATTTTAAGAATGAAAAATAAAATAACTATCTGCTAAAACACACATCAACACAAAGACACACCCAGTCCTCACCCAGATGAACATTTTCTAACACATTCAAATAACAAATGTTAAAAAGAACATGAATCTCAAATATGTTTCCAATTTGTTATCTGAAGGACTCGATTTCTTGTCTGTGCATATAATAGATAGTCTGTCCTTTAAATTGTATCAGAGCTTGCAAGTCAAAACATTTTACAATAATTCATTTGAAATCTACAGATGCTCACTAATTGGCAATATATAAAGATATTTTGATGTGAAGATATTTTAACATTTTATGCCATTCAAAGAATTTACTAGGAACATCCTATAATGAAGCAGGTTCTAAACCTAATATCAGGGACACACTGATCTTTCTGAACAGAAACATACAAATGAATGTTCACTGATATTTTATGATCAGTGATAATTAGTCTTTAACATTTCCATTGCTTTCTTTTTTACATCGTATCTGTTTAAGCAATCTATCAAATATACCTGTACAATACTTTGAAAAAAGGACATCTTAATGTACTTTTTTTCAAATATAAATATATACATACAACAATGCATTGGAACTCTAAATTCAGTGTCCTCATAACACAGGAACGTCCATGACCAACTTTCCATCTCCATCATCACTCTCAGAACCAGGATCTTCTGTTTCTATCTTCATTTCATTCCCCTGAGATGGCTGCTTGCTACTGGTTTTGGCTCTCTTTTGTATCTTCTTTGATGCAGCTGTCCTGTTACTTTCTGCTGCTTTTCTTCTTTTAATTGCTTTTGTCTTGTCTTGATCAGTACCTTGCTCAGTAGGCACTGCTGATGTAGACGTCTGGGTGACGTCCGATGCAACTTGGCTGCTGCTTTCACTGTCAGTGCCACTGCTGGAGTTCTTCATACTATCCACAAGCTCGTCATGGTCACTACACAAAACGGTGCCATCTGCCAAGTCAAGGATGACATTTTTTTCTATGTGAGCTTGACAGAAAGAATTAGGGCACTCTGTGCATAACTTCACTGCTGGCTTTCCACAATCATCACAGTGGTGCCATGGACAGTCCCACTTCCCTGTAAATTGCACAACAATCAATATAAGTATAGACGTGGGAGTGTACTGTTTGAAATTTCCAAATCACCACTCACTTAAATGTACTTTACAAGACAAGGTGTTTATCATTAACAATATCAATCTCGGTTCATTTCAAGTAGTTTTACCAGACTAAAGATATACTTCATTAATTTCGTTTCGAGAGTCAGCTTATCTAACAAATTGGAACAGAAATCAGTGCCAAAACAGGACATTACAGGTAAAAGATTACCAAAAATGTTTTATTTTAAAACTAGGCAGTGATTATTCAACGATTTTTCTATTACCTTGTTGACCCATGTTGTAGGGGTTAAAATTTTGATTCTGAAGTTAAACACTTTAGGGCAATGCTAGAATATGCCTATCATGAAAGTGTTCATGTAAGTCTTACCATGAGGTGGCTTGTTCAGCCCCAGACAGCCCAGGTGATAAGCCTTCGGACACTTGGTTCTGTCACACATTACTAGCTCTCCACCTTCTCCACATCTGAAACACCAATCTTCATGTTCCTTTTTGACATCAGGTTTGTTGCGACGTTTCTTACGTTTCTTAGCCTCCTTTGCCTTCTTTTCATTGGCTGCTGCTGCTGCCGTCTGCAGGAAAATTGCCATGAATTTGGTGGTTGGTTACATACCCATAAATGATTGGGAACATTATGTATGAGATAAAATAAAAATTATTATTATTTGTGAAACTTGCATAGTACAAACTTGCAACTGACAAGCAAAAAGCATTTAATATCAATTTTTATGCACTTGATATTAATTTCTGATCTATAATTTTCTCTGCAATGTCTTTTCATAAGGTTTAGTACCATAACTGAAATAATCAACTACGAACTATGAAATGGGGCCAAAAGACAATTAATGAAACTGCACCTTTGGTCTGACACCCAAGAATCCACTGCAATTGGGTGATCCACATTGACACACCGTCTTTTCATTGCCCAAGCAGTCAAGGTTGTAGTTGAAGGTGAACTCTGTCCCTAAAGGAGATTTTGTGAACAAATCATTACAGACATGCTGAAACTGTCGATCCGATCGTTCATGACCGGGAAAATTTGTCTGGACTGGTAAAAAATTGGAATTTGTCGGTCCAAAGGACCGACAAGAGTTTTAAGAGCCGCAATTATGAATTTACAGTCAGCACTCAACATACTTCACTAATAAATTATATAAAACCCAAAGCATTTTTTCCCTTCCATTTCAAGAGTGATTTTTGGTCCGACAAAAATCCATATGGTCCGGCAAATTTTTCATTTCTGCCGGTCCAAATGTCCGGCCATTTAAAAAAGTTTTCAGCATGTCTGCATTATCAGAAAGTTTACTTTTGGAGTACCTTTTTGACCCTTGCCAAACTGTTTGTTCTTGTATAAAAACAAATTCTATTTGAATATTTTTTGATAGTGACATAATCATGAATCCTTGCTGGAAAACTTCCAACTAAAGTTTAATATCAAATTTATATTGAAGGACTGATATGTGATCAGAGACCCTCATTTGTAGCAACTGTGTATACATGAAAATGGCACATGAAAAAAAAAAATAATATACATCTGATCCATTCAAAGATCTGGGAGCATATTATATTGCGAGTCATACACTGCTGCCACCTACCAGCTGGAATGTCATCAGAAGCAAACAGCCCCACCCTAATATTGCCATTGACAGTCCACTTCTGTGTCTCCAAGTTGGGCTGACAGCTGTGGTTGATAAACCTGGACAAGTTCCCCTTTGGGCCTGCATCAATTATTCTGAAAAGCATGATTTATTTAATTTACTAACTATATAAGTTTCAACCTCATGCACTTATCAACCAGTAACCGACGTGTAACTCTAAATGGAGTGTTGGTATAATACAGATTAGATTTTTAAAAAATATTCAAAAGGTTGTCACAAATTGTGTTTCATTTAAATCCAACAGTAACATCCACTATTTTCACCTGTTTTTGTCAATGGTGAGCATGTAGAAGTTGCTGATGTTTTCATCATGTGCTTTCTGTATTCTTCTTTTGCACTCTTCTTCATCAACAAGCTCTCCGCAGTACTCATTCACAAACTCTCCCTGAAATAAAGACAAACATTCTACTTATCCAAGGAGACTGTTAAAGGTATCTTTCCTAAATTTATCTGACATAGTCCCTCTCTTCTTGTGTAACTTTTATCCGTGCTTTTTATCAATAATAATAATATTAGTAGCTTTGTAATATATTTAAATTTAATTAACAAGAATAACCAATGACACTGTGGATGTGCAGACTACTTTTTTTACAAAAGCACAGACAACTGGTCAAACATGATATTAAACAGCAAAATCTGGTGGATTCAGCAAGCTTAAGATGTTAAAGGTTGGTATGGCCATAATACCATGAGCAGTTCTCTAACAAAAGAAAAAATATATCACACTTCACTATTCTGCAACCAGCTTGGAAGATGACGTTCAAAGTGGAATCTGGTGTTGTATTCTTAATCTCAGCATGGTAGGCAAATACTGTAAGGTGTGACCAATTCTGTGCGAGTTACCATGAAAATCAATGGTTTACATAGGAGACAAAAAACTGAAAAAATTTAACATAACAAACCTTCTTAACATCCCTAAGAGCCCTTAATCCCCAGCCTCTACTAGAGGTACGGAATGATTCTGACTCCACATATAATCTTTTCTGAAACCTCTGGTTCTCACATTTCTCTCCAGCAGGACAGACTGAAGGGTGACACTCATACTGCAGCATACGGTTATAGCACTCAGAATCTGAACCACAAGGATGCTCACTGGATGGCTTGCATTCACAGCGAGGGAGCTCTGAGAGATCAGGTTTGTAAAGTTGAACACTGCCATATGGAATATTGGTCTGAAAGTAATAAATGAAATTTCTACTTTTCTAATTCTCATTTTTGTTTTAAATATTTCTGATCCGGAATTGTTGGTGGCTGATGATCCAGACTGATGCTATTGACTACATATTACTCTTGTTTACACAAATTTTCATAACAATGATCCCATGGCTACATATTGTTACCGTTTTGTATTTCACTGAAAAACAATTAAAACCTAAATCTGTAATGAAAATTGAAATGATTTTTAATGATTTTGACTGCAGACATTTTACCTTGATGAACTTAAATGGTGCAGGTTTCTTGTCGTTGCGTTCAATCTCTTGTTGTTCCTTTGTGTCCTTGTAAGACTTCCAAACTTTAAATGCTTCGGTGGCCTCAGCCACAGCTTAATCATGGAAAAAGACAAAAAGGATACAATAAGATACATATTTTAATTATATTACAGCAATAAAGCTGTTGGCTTAAAATACATTCATGAAAAATCAACACAAGGTTGGTTGAAAGCATAATCTACATACCCAATCTGAACACTTTGGCCAGTCCTTTACAGTTGGTATAGTCTCTACTGCCCTTGTCACCCTCTTGAAACAGGAAAACCCTACAAAAATGTATTTTACTCATTTAATACAATCTCTGTGGACAGAAACTTATCTAACAGTGCAACTTGAAATTGCTCCATATACAGTGGAAAGTAGGTAACCAGAATGTCACTTTTTTTTTGCTGAAACCTATATACAGATCACAAAATAACCAAGGAACTTACTATTGTACTCTTCATATAGGGTTTATGTAAGATTCTCTTCAAATTCATAAATGATCCATTCATGACACTTTATCCCTTACCTTCTCTTGTGAGTCCAGAAATAATCATGTGAGCCAAAGAAGCGTACAGGGAATTCCCCCACTTGGTGGTCCTTCTCCTGAATATTGAGGGGAACATGTCTAGGATGACAGATTTCTCCTGGCCACCACCTGAAGGAGAAAAAAAAATAATAACAATCTTTAATCTTACTTGAAAACATAATTCCCACACCTGAGCAGCAGTGTTCATTATTTTCAACACTTATATCAAAGTAGAAATGACCACAGAAGAAATACACCAAAGTTGGATGTTTCAATTATAAAACTGAAGATGTCAGACCCTATCATTCCAAGGAGCTTTAAAGATTCATAATGCTACTGTAAAGATACTACTAAATTATTTACCTGTAAATGCCTAGCTTAACCCATATAATATCTCCATATAGGGGTGTCTTCCCCACAGCACAGTCCCTACAGAACCAACTGTCATCTGGGAACAGAATCTTGAGGCATTCTGGATGGAATGCTGCAGGGCAACTCTCACAGCATAGCAATGTCCCTCCTGGAAATGGAAAAATATCCATAAAACCTGTTAATCTAGGTTGTGGTTTATATTTAAGGTTAAAATTATGAAAATCAAGAAGAAAATGTTACCATCTGAACAGAGATCTTAGCCTCTCATGTTCTTCATTTTGCATCTAATGGTAAAAATGTAAAACTGGTGATTTTCCCATTTCCTGTGAACAAGGTTGCAACATAGTCAATGACATACCAAAACCAACATGTCAGAAAACAGAATTTATGTTGCAAATATGAAGTGATTAAACAGAGTATCTAACATGGTCCACATTTCAGCCTTTCACACTTTCAAATGACGTAAGGAAATAGAACAATGTTTTCAACCATAAACTGGCAAACAGCTGAATTCAACTGCTGACCTTTCACCTTGTCATTTATTTTAACATTATCCATTTAAGTCAAGTTTACATTTCATATTCAACAAAACCAAGCTCCACATGCCATAAGAAGGATTTTAAAAAGAAAAAAATGGAAATTTACGAGTACCGATAATTCCTTACCTTTATTGCAAATAAAACACCAAGAGACATTAACATGTGAGTGGTGCTTGTGTGCCTTCACTGGCTGAAAGTGTTTACTGCACACAATATTGTACCCTGCCAGGTTGACGCTGCCCGCGGCCACACACAGGTCTCCAGCATGATACGCAGTGGGACAGCGCACACAACGATACAGGCGACCTGAGAAAGGAAATATTCCTTCAATTATTTATTTCCACCTTAAGTTACTAAATACATTGATGATGGGCATAAAGAATCATTACAAAGGACCAAATGTACACTGGTGTCAAGCTAAAACAACCCATCTCTAATAGAACAAGCCACACATTGTTACTAAACAGCTATCACAAGGGTCAAAATGGTGGAAACAAAATTGATTTCCCTCAAGGGTGAATTTCCCTGAATATTTGAAGATTCAAAGTATAATGATGAATTTCCAACAGCAATTCTAACAGAAACAGCAGTCGTCCTTGACCATAACTATATCCCTAGTGAAAAGTGCAAAATGACCACCTGTCTTAGTCTTCATTACCTTTAGTTGCTTTTGGGTTCTTTGGGTTGCCTTCTGCACAGTTTGTGCACACATGCAGGGGACAGACCAGACCTTTAGCCTCAAACTTGGACAGAAGAAACTGACTTGCACAGTGTTCATGGTAGAACTTCCCGCACAATGGAACAGAGCATTTTTTCAGATCTTTTCCAGCTTTTTTGCAGGCAAAACAAGTATGGCAACCTGAAAAAATCAATGAAGGTGATTTACACTATGGACATATAGATAAAATTATATATACTTAAATGAAAACTTGCCCAGTAATTTAAGTGTTTTGGTTTTCAATTTCCATAATATTAAGATTTTTTGGGGTATAATCAGACAGGTACACATTTCTCCAAAAACTTATAAACACATTTCTCCAAAAACCATTTCTTCAACTAAAGAAGTTCCTCACCAGATGTGCATTCATCACATTTGAAGACACCAGCTGGAGCAGCAGTCAGTCCAAGACAGGACAGATGAAATGATCCAGAACAGGGTCCTTCACACTGTATGAGTTCACCAAGTGCATGTGATTCTTCACAGATCACACAAATGTTTTCTTTCTTTTGTGTTCCATTAGCCACAAGCTTGAAAATCTCCAACTCATATTCCTGTCCTTCTTGGATACGCCTCTCTTCTAATGTCTGAAAAGTATAATTTTGTTTAAGGCTTATCTGTCATGACACGTTTAGAGCATATAAACCTCAATTTGCCAAAAAATACCCAAGCTCCTTTCATTTTCTACAGCCAAAACAAGTTCAATTCCATGGAATAATTAGATACATAGGTAACTTGAAAGCCATAGTATGTGAGTGTAATGCGATAATCCTGTGTAGTCTTCTTAATAATAATGACAGACAAGATGGATACTTGAATTACTTGGCATAAAATTATCTTAAAATGCAGTTTACCATTTTGCGTGTCCCAGGTTCTTGTTCATCCTCTTCAGTGGCTACTGATGTTTTTCTACTGACTGCTGCATGCTTGTAAGATTTAGGCTGTAAATATATTGTTTGACCATGCCTTAAAGTCAGTAATATTCAATCAAATAAATCAAAAGTCCTTTGTATTTGAAAAAGTTTAACAACATTTAAAAATATTTACAACATTTCTTGAAGTTTATTTACAACATTTCAAAAGTTTAGTTTCTATTTGATTAAGGTTTAGCTCTAAAGAGATGAACACTGCATCTCAACTAGTAAATAATTTTGGTTTTTCCAAAAAAAAAAAAAATTTCTTTGCAAACAGTCAAGTTGGAAAAGTTGAGAAATCACTGGCATACACAAACTAGAGGATCAGAGAGGCGATACCGCCTCTGGATATTGTACCACCAGCTGGAGTAAGCGCATTCTCATGGAAACCCCGCCCCCCAAAAATGAACACCACCACCAGTCTTGTGCTTGACAAGCTCTATAAAATGCAATAAACAAGAGTTCTCAAAATATGCAAAAAAATAAAAAAAAATAAAAATAAAAATAAAAATATATATATATATATATAGCGAACAAACATAACTGTTCAAATCAAGCAGATGTTCAAATTGAGCTGTATTTTCCTAACACTGATGACTCCTGTGATTTTCTAGACAATAGGCCTATTGGTTTTCCTTGAAATGCGTTATCAGTATTGCATATTTGCTGACAAAAGAGAAAACCTTGGGACAACAGTAGGCAGATCTCTGCTAGTTTTGAAGATATGAGGGGCAAGAAAATATGCAGAATTCAGTTTGTGGTGAAAAAGTAGGTCAAAGGTCAATTTCAAGGTCACAGTATATGACTTCCTATAGAAGTTCAATAGTAGCTATGGGCATTTCTTTGCCAATTTTGGAGATATGAAGGCCAGGAAACATGCAAAGTGCAGTTCATCATAAATAGTAGGTCAAAGGTCACAGTAAGATTGCCAGTATATGACTTCCTATTCAAGTTCAATAGTAACTTTGGACTTATCTCTGCCAGTTTCCGAGATATAAGGGATAGAAAATTTGCAAAGTTCAGTTCATGGTGAAAAGTAGGTCAAAGGTCAATTCCAAGGTCACAATAAGACTGCCAGTATATGACTTCCTATTAAAGTTCAATAGTAACTATGGGTGTATCTCTGCCAGTTTTGGAGATATAAGGGTTGAAAAATTTGCAAAGTTCAGTTCATGGTGAAAAGTAGGTCAAAGGTCAATTTCAAGGTCACAGTTAGATTACCAGTATATAACTTCCTATTAAAGTTCAATAGTAACTATGGGCGTATCTTTGCCAGTTTTGGATATATAAAGATCAGAAAACTTGCAAAGTGCA